CCGCCCCTGACCCGTCCCCCACCCTCTGCAGGGACCCCCGATCTGCCTCCCGCCCCTGCACCGCCCCTGACCCGTCCCCCACCCTCTGCAGGGACACTCTGACCCTCTCCCCGACCCCCTGGCTCGCACACCCACACCCCCTGCAGGGGACTCTGACCTGCCACTCCCCAGCATCCAACCTGTGGAAGCCACCCCCTTTCCTGAGGGGCTCCCCCTGCCAGTGTGGTCTGGGGCTTCCCCAGGATGCTGCCCTCAAGGAAGAGGGAAGAAGGAGCACTCCAAGCAGATGGGTACCAGACATTCCTCCTCATGAGTTAGGGGGTGAGGCCACCCTGTTCACAGGACCCAAATCCACCCCCACCAGAGGGGGGCCAGCTCCCGGAAGAGGCTGCCCCACGGACACACGGAACAGTCAGCTCAGGTGTTGGCATAGAGACCAATAGGCCGCAGTGCGGAAATAAAACCAGACAGCACTCCATGTCCCGAGGGTGTGCCCACGTCACGGCCTGCCTCCCACCCTCCTTCCCTCCCGCCAAGGCCCGACCTCAGAGGGTACAGCCCGAGGTCAGGGGGCACACATCAGCCCCCAGGCCTGTGGGAACCTGCCTCTCCCTGCACAAGACCCTCTGCTGGCCTCGTCTCAAAGCACTGCCCACACCCTGAGCAGACGGTCACCCTGCCCCACCCTCACCTCTTGCTCCTACCGGGACATAGGGTCCCGAGTAGGCTCTGTAGCGGGGGGCTGGGAGCAGCCGAACCATCTCTCGCCTGCGATGGCCTGGTGTAGCCACCAGCAGAGCTAAGAGAAGGCCACTGGGTGGGGGACACGGCCTGGGCCCCGACACCCTTGCTCCAGCACTTGCCAGGGCCTCACGCTTCACCTCCACCCCTCCGCCCCTCCGCCCCTCCGCCCCTCCGCCCCTCCGCCCCTCCGCCCCTCCGCCCCTCCGGCTTACGCAGCACGCACCGGACAAGCTCCGCCTCTGAAGACTCGGCTGCGCGTCACCACGCCTACGGGACGGGCGGGGGCGCCCCAGCGGCCGCCGTAACATTGGATACCGCGGAAGTCGTGGTCGTCAACGCGTTGGGTCGGTTACGTCTGCGCGCCCGGAAGCGGGGAGGCAGCGAACATGGCGGCTGCCGGGGCCGGCTTGGGCGGTGGCGGTGCTGGCCCAGGGACCGAGGCCGGCGACTTCCTCGCTCGGTACCGGCTGGTGTCCAACAAGCTGAAGAAGCGGTTCCTGCGGAAGCCGAACGTGGCCGAGGCCGGAGAGCAGTTCGGGCAGCTGGGCCGCGAGCTGCGTGCCCAGGAGTGCCTGCC